AATAATGCCAATAGTTTAGAAATGTTATGAGGATTACAAATATACCAATAATTTATTCAAATGATGCAAGAATGATGAATTACGATTTGAAGAACAGAGCGGGTTATTTTGACACTTACAGCGCGTTTGGGCGTATGAGCAAGCTTGCTTTTGATCCAGGAAGATTGAGTGAACACCCAGGAAGAGATTGGGACAAGTCTCAGCTTCTGAAAGTGCCTCTAGCTATGGTTTCGAATTCAAACTTTTGGTCACTTTTTTCAAACTTTGTATTGCCTCTTCTTGCAGCCTCTAACCCTTGTTTCGATCTGTTTTGCTTGCTTATGTACTATGGAATGTATTAGGGTAAGAATTATGGCTTGAATCTTCTCCCATCAATGCTTGCCAATTTGATTTGATTCACCTCTTTACAACTTTCCAAATTTGCCAATTTTCAATATTTTTGCACATGGTTTGGTGTGATACGAATTTGATGATGTTAATGATGATGATCCAATCCTGAAATAGCCAAAAGATCTCATGTAATCAAAGCTTTGGATTTTATATGATTTAATTTGATTAAAAATAAATAAATTCAATAAAAAATCAAATAAAATAATAAAAAAAAATGAGCTCATGGATGAAGCTAGGACACGTGTGCAATGATGCAAGCTCAAATCAAGTGGAAAAGAATGGGCCCATTTGACAAAATTTTAAGTTTTAGGGATAGTTGACTTTTGGCAATTTTGCAAAAAAGTCCAACTTCAACAATGCATAACTTCTTCAATTTTGAAATTTTGGAAGTGTTCTTGGACTTTTTAGAAAGCTTGAGATGTCCTCTAACCAACCCTTTTGGTCTCATCTTACTTTGATATTCCATGCTCAAGTTATAAGCTTTGAAAAAAAGGTGTTTTTGTTGACTTTCAAAAATGACCTATAATGTCCAAATTTGTAACTTCTTGTGAGTGCATTTTTTGATCTTGGGGTATGAAGATGGATTGTAGGAAATTGCATCCTCTTCAAAATGAGCTTTTTATGGCTCATTTAGCATAAAGTATGAGAAAGTTATGCTTGGTCAAAGTTTGAGTTGACTTTTCCTGTAAAACCCTAATTTAGCAACTTTTGAGTCTTGATGAATTTTGAGCAATGCTTGATGAATCATGATCAACCCTTGATCAAATGATGAAATATCCTTCAAAATGAGAATGTTGACAAAGAACAACTTGAAGTTTGACTGTATTTGGGTCACAGTTGACTTTTGCCCTAACATAGTCGATTTTTGGACCCTTTGAGCAATTGACTGAGCAAACTTCCTCTGCAAGGCTTGAAACTTGACATGGATGATCTTAATAACATATTAGGACCTTGGGGAGAACTTGAGATAATTTGGACTCAAAGATCTTGATGCAACACAAAACCCTAATTTAGGGTTGACTGCCTTAGGAGATAACTTGTCTGACCAATTCTTGAGCAACCTTGAGCCACTTGGAGACTTTTCTTGCAATGTTTTGAGAAACATGAGAGGGAAAATTTTGGGGTACAACACACATCAAATAATATTATTATTCTAATATTATTCCACAACTTAATAGAATAAATAAATCCAATAACAACAACACATCAACTATCATCATAACACAACTTCACAAATAATCCAAAAGGGCGTTACAATACCTGAATAAGAAGTTCACGATCATCAAACATTTTAAGTCTTATCGTACCAATACCATGAACCTTGTAAGCCTTATTATCACCAAGGCGAACAACTCCACCTTGAATCATATTCAAAGTTTCAAAGTATTCTATTCTTGGACACATGTGATAAGAGAAACTGAGTCAATGACCCAACTATATTTAGTTTCCAAACTCGATACTACTAGTACATCAGCATCCTCATAACTTTTCTCACCCAAGGAAACTATAACTTGAACAAAATCTTCATTGAACTTTCTCTCAGGACAATCCCTTTTAAAGTGACTAATTTGATAATAACTAAAACATTTTACCTTTGACTTGTTAGACCTCTTTGATTTGGACATCCCTTTACGCTCACCTCCTCCTCTTGACACATTTAAGCCTTCACCAATATCTTCAATTTTCAAATCTTTCGCTTTTGAAAATTCTTTGGATTTCATCGCCATTTGGACTTCATCCAAAGTAATAGTACCTTCCTTACCATAAAGAAGGGAATCCTTAAAGTTCTTAAAGGATCTTGGTAATGAACTCAACAGGAGTAAAACCTTGTCCTCATCATCAATCTTCACTTCAATATTCTCAAGATCATCAATAATCTTGTGTAATTCTGTAAGCTACTCAAATATAGATTTGTGCTCTATCATTCAAATTGAATAAAGTTGC